AGGCGTGTCTTCAAAAGCTAGCAGAACGCCAATACAGATAGAGCGTCTTGCATTTCTGCAAGAAGTGCGTCCCACAACATTTGTGTTACTAGTGAAAAAGCCAACCTCCTTTTGAGCACAATAATAACAATGCCATAATGCAAAATGCCGGGGAAAGTGAGGACCAGACTAAATGAGGTGGCAGGAGATCCATGACCACGTCTTCTCCCTATTCTTTCCTCCTTCTTTTTAAAGATAAATGCATCTCTTCCTTCACACCCCACTCATATATTGGGACTATGGTAATGTGGACAGGGACAAAGCAATTGCACAGTGCATTTGCCAGTCTGAATCTCTCTCTCTGCTCAAAGCTGCTATCTTAACCCTAAGGGAAATTGCAGGTACCATACTGGCTGCCTGGGCAGAGAGTTCGCATCACATTGATAAAACAACCTGTGAGTCCCTACAGCTACTTTTACCCTTTCAAAAACATGTTGGAGATCTATTTACAATGAACATCACCAAGCTAGTTGCCCCCCAAGTCCATACTGGTAATGTGCATGACAATGTCAGTCTGATATCTTTTATTATTTTATAATTTTTTTGTATGCTTGGTTTATAATCTAACCTGGTATCAACGTAGAGGAAAGGTGAGTAATAAATCTTTAAAAGAAATAATTTATAGGCTCAAAAACACCAATATAAGCCTCAGTGTTTGTGTAGCCTCTAAAAGTGGCATCTGCCGGGCTAATAAGTTGAAGATGGGCACACATGGATGTGCCTGATGAGGACTACAAAGGAACTGGGGATGCGGGTGGCACTGTGGTCTAAACCACTGAGCCTCTTGGGCTTGCCGATTGGAAGGTCAGCGGTTCAAATCCCTGCAACAGGGTGAGCTCCTGTTGCTCTGTCCCAGCTCCTGCCAACCTAGCAGTTTGAAAGCATGCCAGTGCAAGTAGATAAATAGGTACCGCTGTGGTGGGAAGGTAAACAGCGTTTCCATGCACTGTGGCTTCCGTCACGGTGTCCCGTTGCACCAGAAGCGGTTTAGTCATGCTGGCCACATGACCCGGAAAGCTGTCTGTGGATAAACGCCGGCTCTCTCGGCCTGAAAGCGAGATGAGCACCACAAACCCATAGTCGCCTTTGACTGGACTTAACCGTCCAGAGGTCCTTTACCTTTACCTTTACAAAGGAACCAAATTCCAAATCTGTCAGATGAAAAATTGCCACAGATATAGCAAGTTAAAAAAATTATGGAACTTGACAGTTTGATCCCTATTTTCCAGTTTTCATAAGTATACTTTTAATTTTGTCAAAAACTACTGATATACTTTATACAGACTTCCCATGGAGCACCCACTCTCATTGTTTGGGGGAAAGTCAGATCAGTGGTTTTCCTGTAGTTTTCCTGTCCGACTGGAAGTCTATGGCAAACAACTTGTGGCAAAATAGTGTTGTGCATGACTTAAAAGCCAATGTGAAGCTAACATTTTGCCCGGACTGTAAAGTTTGCAGAGGGAGTCCCCAGTGGATGCTATGTGCAATGCATAGTCTTTTACTTATGAAATATCACTGTGGCGTATTGATTTCTTTGCCCTCCCTTTATCAGCCTTTCTCTTCCAATCTTGCAGTTCTTTCCCACTTCTTTCTATTTAATCTTGCTGTTTGCATTTGAGGCCTGTGTTGCTTTCGATGGCCCATTAGTTCTGGATTCATTGTCCTTAAGTTCTGTGGTGAATTTTATCTTGGACCCATCCACACTAGGATACCGGTTTAAGCAGCCATGACTCCCCCAAATAATTATGGGAGCTTCGGTTTGTTAAGAATGCTGAGAGTTGTGTTTAATCCTCACACAGCTACAAAACCCAGAGTTCCTTAGGAAGAGGAACTGATTGTTCAAGGACTCTGAGTATTGTAACCCTCTGAGGGGAAATGGGGGTCTCCTAACAAATCTTGGTACCCTTAACTGCAGCTCCCAGGATTCTTTGGTGGAAATCATGGCTGTTTTGAAATAGCATCACAGTGCTTTGAATGCATAGTGCATACGGGGACTTTGTTGTGATTTTTGTGGTTGTCATTGCTGCTGACGATATTCTTATCTGTGCCTTTGTATCTGTGGGGTGTGCTCACACAAACTGCTACTATCTGTTCTTGGACTAGTGCGCTAAAGTGTGCATAAGCACTTGTTGTTTTAAGAAGCATCACATATTACACATTTTGTCATTCATCATAATCGCCGTCACTACGCAATAACATCCCTATTATCTGATCGTGAGGCACTTACGTGGTTCAGGCAGCAAACCATGGGTGTGCCAGTTCTTTCTTTCTTTCTTTCTTTCTTTCTTTCTTTCTTTCTTTCTTTCTTTCTTTCATAATTTTATAAAAATTACAAACATAAAAGTCTCAAACAAAGCAGGAAGTCACCCTGGGCGATGCTGAATCAGGAGACGCTACGAGGACTGGTGGGATGTTGCCCTGGGCCAACCAGTGTGGCCTGGCGCTCAAATGTTGCATCGGGAGGAAGCCTGGTCGGCCTCTCCTGCTGCAACAGTCGTCACACCCATGTGTGACGCACGTGACATCACACGCACGATGCCTATGACCGCACACGAAGTCCCCCCCCCAAAGTTGGGTGCAACTTGGCACCTGTGTATTCAACCATCTCCTACTCAGGTTAGACCCACTTTGAAATTAATCAAGCTATGTTGGTTAAACCACAAAGCCTAGGACTTGCTGATCAGAAGGTCGTCGGTTCGAATCCCCGCAACGGGGTGAGCTCCTGTTGCTTGGTCCCTGCTCCCGCCAACCTAGCAGTTCAAAAGCACGTCAAAGTACAAGTAGATAAATAGGTACCACTCCGGCGGGAAGGTAAACGGCATTTCCGTGCACTGCTCTGGTTCGCCAGAAGCGGCTTAGTCATGCTGCCCACATAACCCGGAAGCTGTACACCGGCTGCCTCGGCCAATAAAGCAAGATGAGTGCCGCAACCCCAGAGGAGTCTGTGACTGGACCAAATGGTCAGGGGTCCCTTTACCGTTTATGTTGGTCACATCCATTAACTTAAATGGGTCTACTCTGAGTAGGAGTAGTGTTGAACAGCAGCCCTTGTGATGTCTCTGGGATGGGGGTGAGGGGAGCTGAGGGTAGTGACAAAGGAGGCAGCAGCACTGGCCATTTGATGTCCCCCCCTCACTGAAGCTCAAATGTACCTTCCTTGCAGCAGAGGCAAATTTAGGGTCGCACTGGGCGCAGAGCCTCTGGGGTGCCTCCAGGGGCACCACAACTATGATGTAGAATGGAAGGTGAGAGGTGGAGGGGGTGCCGGATTTTGGCATCGCACAGGCAGACCCCCAAGGTCTGCTACTGCTTTAAGAAGGCAACAGCAGTGATGAGATTCAGCAGCTTACTTGTTGCATTGTTATCACCAAGACCTTTGTGCGGCTAATGGAAAACCCAAATTGCCATTTGCTCCGATTCAGCTTTAAAGAGCAGGTTTTTGTGGGGAGAGCTCGGGGGGGGGGGGAGTGCTTGGATACAGAGCTTTAAAGCACAGGCCTGTACCTGGGAAGGGGTAAAAAGTAAGCATGGATAAGCCCTTTGTCTGGATCAAATTCTAGGGGTACCTAGAAGCCCCAGTTTGTCCCAGTTTGGCAGTACAGTGGTACCTCGGGTTAAGTACTTAATTCATTCCGGAGGTCCATACTTAACCTGAAACTGTTCTTAACCCGAAGCACCACTTTAGCTAATGGGGCCTCCTGCTGCTGCTTTGCCGTCGGAGCACGATTTCTGTTCTCATCCTGAAGCAAAGTTCTTAACCTGAAGCACTATTTCTGGGTTAGCAGAGTCTGTAACCTGAAGCATATGTAACCCGAGGTACCACTGTATGTGGGAACAGTCCTATGAACACTGAACTATCATCAATTAGGAAATATAAGAGAAGGCAAGGGACTCCTCCAAATAGAAATACTAAGGAAATAAAAATGGTGACTGTTTTGCAGGTATGTGCCATTTGCAGCAATGACTTTCCAGAGAGAGGCAGGCTTGATATTTCCAAAGGAGTCCTGATCTAGCGACAGAGACACAAGTGAATGATGCTGGGAGGGAGCAGGAAATTAAAAGTTATGTCAAATTATGAAAAGCAATATTTTCCTGCCCGTATTAGCAGTGAGTGGGTGAACAAGAGTGTCCAGGCACGTGCGGTCCTTCAGACACCATTTATAAAGTTCTGCTTATTTAACCTTTCTTTGTCTCTTCTTTAAATTCAGGCCTCACTTACAAGGCCAGATTTGCTTCTTCCTCTGTTCACTCGAGTTTGATGAAGAAATATACGTCTATAGGATTAACTGACGAACAATGGTCCAAAGCAAAGAACTTTTTTTTTTCCTTTTCCCTTTTCCATTTCAGGAAGCCATTGCTAAAATAGGTTCTTTGTTAGACAGTCCCTTGTATGTCACGAGCTTTATCTTACTAGAATTTGGATGGCTCTTGCTTTAAACTGCTTTCTGTTAATTTAAGGGCTGTTTGCCTGGTATCCACATACAGTCCATCTATCACATCTTACAACTTTCACTTTGCAGGTCAATACGCCAGCCAAGCCTAGTGATTTAGGGTCGGTAATGTATTGAGGTGTGGTACCAAAAACTATACCTACAGTCCTCATAGCAAACACAGGGGTAGATAGCTTTAGCATACTCAGGAATCAAAGGTTTTGGGTTTCTTTTATAGAAAACATATACTTTTTGTGCATTCTGCCATTATAATATGCAATTATAATACTGCATACAATTATTGTGTTTTATATTTATTATAACTTATATACTATGTGCAATCCAGCCCGTTTCAAAACGGTTCTGTGATACTCCTAGATGGCTAGCCAATGCTTCTCAATGAAAAGCCTAGTGATCAAGGGTGTGTAAGCTAAATAAATAAAAAAAATCATTAGAATCATAGACTTGTAGAATTGGAAGGGACCCTGAGGATCATCTAGTCCAACCCCCCGCAATGTAGGAATATGCATCTGTCCCATACAGGGATTGAACTTGCAACCTTGGTGTTATCAGCACCACGCTCTAATCAACTGAGCTGTCTTGGTCCTTCCCCCCTTAGAACTGTATTTTGTTTTATTATCTGTGCATCACTTTGCATTCATTTCCATATTCTTTTATTATCATTATTATTATTTATTTACGAACCAGCATTGTTTTTCTTTCCCCTGCTTAAAAAAAGAAGATACATACAGTACAATGTTTTTTTTGCTTCCTGTTGTGGTGCTAAAGGCAGAACTGATCACTGTTGCCACCTGGTGGCCATTGTTTGTTCCCCCTCCACAAACTGTTGGCCAGTGCCTTGGTATCCTGTATCTGGTATCTTTGTATCTGGTGCTTTTGGTGCAAAACAAAATTGTGGCTGCCACAAAAAAAACCACACAAAAATAAATGGCGGACTCCATGGCCAATTGTTGTTCCTCCAGGATAAGCTACTCTTTCTCAGCCTAACTTTGCCATCTGTAAAATGGGTACAATGGTGATCCTCAAAAGTTGTGGGTTTTTAAAGAATGTATTGGTGTGGGGAAAGATTCGGGGAGGATTGGGGGATAATAGTGATGGGTCACCAAAGCCGAAAAAGGCTCTGCTTCACCTGCAAGATGACATTTTGCGGACCCCCGAGTATGCTGGTGGAACAGTCACCCAGAACAGATGTACTGCTGATGAAAGGGCCCATAACAGTGCCTTTTCGGGACAGCACTGGGGCAATATTGTATCTCCATGATCCAAAAAAATTCTCCCTCTCCAAATATGGACATTATTGGACCTGAAACTAAGCCAGCCCTGGAGCTGACACAGTTAATTCACCTCTCATTAGGGTCAATGCGAGGGAACAAAACAGAAAACAGAAGGAGGGAAAGAAGAAAAATCTGTCCGCACCTCTCACCTCGGCTGCAGGGAGCTGGCAGGGTTTTTAATGTAGCAGAGCAGTTGCCATGGAATCTCCTTCCTCCTTCTCCACCCCCGTGATAGGAGTGCAGTCCAAGTGGCTTTGCGCAGTTAATGTACAGCGGAAACGCTACAAAGTAAAAGGGCTATATAACCAAAAAGAAAAGGAAAAATGGCATTGCTAGGATTTCTTGCATCACAAAGTAAAAGAACTCTGGGAGAAGACTTTGTTGCTAAAATTTGCAACTGTACTGTTTACGGAGTTCCAACAAAACATGACAGTCCTGACCAAATTTGGTATCCAGAAATGTTTGTCTCTTTATTTTTAGGAATATGAGAAGTGGGTGGGGCAAAGACACTCTCTCTCTCTCTCACACACACACGAGAGAGAGAGAGAGAGAGAGAGAGAGAGAGAGAACACATTGAGAACTGTGTTTGTAAATGCTTCTAGCAATTTAAGTACCACCTTGCAACTTCCTACAAAAGTGGTACTGTGGGGATCTCAGGAGGAGAAAGAAGTCAGGCAGACCGAGGATGATCAGCTATAAAGACTCAACTGTTTTGCTTAGAGCAGAGGAACACAGTTTGCTTTGAGCTGGTCTACAATTCCCATCACCCCTGTCCAAATATTGTTATAAGCCGGCTGAGGTAGCAGAAGCTGGGTAGCATCTAGAGAGCCACAGGTTCACCACCACTGGCTTGGAGAACCAACTGCTAGTGTCCATATGAGTATAACTCTGAGGAAGTGGTACAATCATTATGGGACTCAGTATTTGGTTATCTATTAAATTCCTACCCCAACCTTCCTTCCAAAGGAGCCCAGGTTGTCAAACTTCAAAATGATAAACAAAACACACACACACACACACACACACACACACACACAGGTAACACAGACAGAAAAATGATACAGAGTTGTGGAATGAAGTAATAACAGCAAACCAGATCTGTGTCTGGTCAAGTGTTCCAACAAAATGATGTTCCAGGCAGTTGGTGAACATGGTAAAGCATCAGCTAAAACAATACTATTAAGCATTATTATTATTATTATTATTATTATTATTATTATTATTATTCAGTTAAATAGAATATGCTATTAAATACAGTGGTACCTTGGAAGTCGAATGGAATTCGTTCCGGAAGTCTGTTTGACTTCCAAAATGTTTGGAAACCAAGGCATGGCTTACAATTGGCTGCAGAAAGCTCCTGCAGCCAATCGGAAGCTGCAGAAGCCCTATCTGATGTTTGGGTTCCAAAGAACTTTTGCAAACCAGAACACTCACTTCTAGGTTTGTGGCGTTCGGGAGCCGAAACGTTTGACTTGCAAGGCGTACACGATCCAAGGTACAACTGTACTATTAAAACAGCATAGCTTCCTTCCTTCCTTCAGCCCAATCCTTGGGTGTGGGAAGATTATGACAGGGATGTTACTATTTAAAATGACATATCTTCCATTTAACAGTCTGCTTTTTCTTTTTCTCTCTGGATGTCAGAGTTCTGGGTGGGAGATGGATGGGAAGTCATACGGAGGGGAGACATACATGGTAAATAATGTCCACCATGCTGTGCTTTTTGCTTTAGTTACAGCTATGGTTTTCCCAGTGGTGATGTATGGATGTGAGAGCTGAACCACAAAGAAGGCTGATCACCAAAGAATTGATGCTTTTGAATTATGGTGCTGGAGGAGACTCTTGAGATTCCCATGGATTGCAAGAAGATCAAACCTATCCATTCTGAAGGAAATTAGCCCTGAGTGCTCACTGGAAGGACAGATCCTGAAGCTGAGGCTCCAATACTTTGGCCACCTCATGAGAAGAGAAGACTCCCTGGGAAAGACCCTGATGTTGGGAAAGATTGAGGGCACAAGGAGAAGGGGACGACAGAGGACGAGATGGTTGGACAGTGTTCTTGAAGCTACAAATATGAGTTTAAGCAGACTGCGGGAGGCAGTAGAAGACAGGAGTGCCTGGCATGCTCTGATCCATGGGGTCAAGAAGAGTCGGACACGACTAAACGACTAAACAACAACATGCTGTGCTGCACATGTCTGCAAGCACTGACAGACAAAGTGGTCCATCTATGCAGTGCTATTTTTCTAGAAAAAGAGGTGCTGGAACTCACCATGAACACCTCTCTTGTTCTCTAATCATGGCAATGGCACCCACCTGAGAGGCACTGGAACTGAGTTCTGCCTCTATGTATTTATACCCCTTGCCCTCTCAAGCATGAGCAGGATAGGCATTAACTGTAAGAGTTACTTTCAAATTCTTCTTGCTGTATGACCATTCAGAGAACAATTTGTGTTTGGATAAATCTACAAAGAACCAGTTCCCAAGGACATTGTTTTGATGCACAACATAAGAAGTGGGGAGGGGGAGATTAAAACCAATGCACCTGGCTTTAACTTGAGTTACTGCAATATGAGAAGAAGCACTGGCTTTAACTTAACACTCAATCTATTATGTTTTAATTACCAGATAACACCATGTCAGTTCATGGTACTGCTGGAAATATATATAGAGAAAAACACCTCAAGGCCTACTTCCTGTTCTTCATGTTGCATGGCCTCAGTGAAGAGGATTGGGTTGGGGGGTTTTTTTATTAAAAATATTACCCTCTTGCCATTTTCAAACCCTGCCTCATTTCACTCCATGTTTTGAAAACATGACGCTGGGAATCATTTTAATTAGAGTTCTTCCTGAAAGGCTGTTATTATGAAATGTAAAGAGATGTGTCTCAGATAACCAACAACACCCACCTTCCTTAGCCTTTGGCGTGTTTGGAGTGGCATCTGTCCAGGAATGAGGCAACCTCAAGCTTTGTCAACAGGTTTCGTCTGATTCATAGAACTTCACATCTCTGAAGGGTGTCTAGCCCATCTGGGGGACTCTATACTCAAACCATGCCTACTAGGGTAGAAGAAAGAGATTTGGTATCTCCTGCGTAAAAGGCTGCAAAAATGCACGAGGTCAAATGGACCAATGCGCAGTAGTGCCCAGATTGCTGAAGGAAGAAATAATCTCATAAACTGTCACAATTGGCTGGCAGTTACCTGTAGGGTGTGATGTGGAAGCAGATTCCTTGTGATGTGAACTCACAACACTGTAGGAAGGTGTGTAAGGAACCATGTAGCTAGAGCTGATGAATGAATGTAGCTTTTAGAACATGTCCTTTATCTGATCCTAAGTATTTTTATCTACCACAATTTAAAATGTATCTCTGCACCTGCAAGCCAGAAATTTACAGTGCTTCCTCTCTGCCCTTAATCTTAATGGAGTTAAAATGCACACCTCCTGTAACTTGTCTTCATAGCATTCTCTCTGGAGTCTGAGGACCATACAAATCTTCTGTGCAAAGGCTGATCACTTATGCATAGCCCCCTGCACCCAAAGAAAACCCATCACCAAAACAGACAACAAATGACGACGCAGATTTGCTTAAAACATTCATTACTACTTTATACAGTGAGATTCAGATTTACAAAAATAGAGAGCCTAAAATTTAAATATAAATGCAACACATCTTAGCACAGGCTGTGACCAACCGACCTGTCTTGCTGTCCAAGTACTAATTATTGATGGGTATCTTCAAAGTCCATCCTTTCTAGGGCTCTATCCTCAAACCCGTCTTGGACTGGACAGCCCCTCAAATAGAGAAATGCACTCTGTAAAGTTGGACACATGGCCACCCTTGCCTTGTACTGCCGGCATCTTCCAATGCAACATGGAAGCCATCCACATCTCCATCCCTCCCACGTCTTGCACATCAAAGTCGTCCAAAGGAGTCTCCAATGACCACTCATCTTTATGTTTGGCCCTGGGCCACTTGGAGGACTCTGAGCTGCCTGTAGCTCTGGACTAAAATCCAGTGAACCAAATGCATGGATATTGTCATTTGCATCTGGTGGCCGCCCTGGTTTTTGTTCTGATCACAGATGTTCATGCCACTCTGAATACCAGGAGCAGCAGCTAGTAGAGGGTTGAAGCAGAAGCTTTCCTTCACCGCAACCTTCTGGATCCTGGCCCAGATGTTTTCTAATTGAATTTGGATCTCTGAAGACCGAAACTTCAGACTTTGGCAACATTAGAAACACTGGGACAGGAAGAACATGTGTCTCCCCCCTCCAAGAGATAGTAACTTCCCCCTCTCCATTC